GTAGAAAGTCAGGTCCTCGATGCGTCCACATACTGGCTACTGTTACCTACACTGCCATTCCCCTTTGGCTTTGGCTTACATTTTTTTTAACGTTCCCCATGCTGAGTCCTGAGCGCATAGTCCTAATTACGGCATCATGTGTTAAGATGGAATGAGGTTTCCTCTCTAAGCACTGGTCACACACACATTCCAAAGACTGCCTTTTTACATTTAGCCCCGTAACCTATCCACACTTACTCAAAACACAAAACTTAAATGAACTTACACAGATTCATGGATTAGAAACCTGAAGGTTTTGATATTTGCTGTCTATCAAGAGCAATATTTTGACCTTGCTCAGAATGCGAGGTTGAGGTCTTCAGCTTTGTCTTCCTCTAAACAATGACACTGTATATCTTCCATAGGGATACCACGGCAAAGTGTCACAAACCGGGTGGTAAAACATCATGAAATCACTGTCTTACAGCTTTAAGTCTACAAGTCCGGGTGTAGGTGTCAGTGGGATTAAATCCTTCTGAAAGTACGAAGAAGAGTAGGTACCATGATTCTCTCCTTACTTCTGGTGTTTTGTTGCAGTTCTTAGTAATTATTATTATTATTTTTTTTTTTTTTTGGAAAAAAGAAAGAATACCCAGTTTCTCCTTCTGCCTTCCTCTGGTGTTTGGGTGTGCTTCTCTTGTTCCGTACAAGTCTTCACTGAAGTGAAACCATTCGAATTGAGTTAGCCCAGATCCACATTACAATAAAACTTTATTTAAAGTAAGTGTCTGTACCGGTCGTAGTCTCAATATTTCTTCAACATTCGAAGCAGTTGAAGGTTAGGACTTACTTATATGAGGGACAGAAGTCAACCCACCATGATAACTAACCATGATCCTATAAGGATCGGCAGCTGGGGCAGTGCATTCTTCCGGGAGTGAGCTGTTTTAGCTGTATTGGGGGGGTTGTAGTTAGTTCCTTTTAGAACCAAATGCGAAAGCCTATGAAATGCACTGTAATACCAGAGGCGGGCAAAGCTGTGCTTCTGAGTTCTAGGTGCTTGGCCTTGCAATTGTGAGGTGGAGTCACTAAACGGACATCTACAGATCTCACAGTGTAGCGCCTCTAATAGACTGGCTTTGCAGGTGTCACCATAGTACCTGTGGCGGTCCTAAAAGGTTCGCTCAGTTGCAGGAGGCAACCAGTGTCAAGTGAAGGGCTGGCCCTGAAACTGAAGTCAAAGTGCGGCTCCTGTGTAGGGATAAGAATCACTCTCTATCTGAGTTCTTGTTCTCCTTCTTACTCATAGAGACTGAGTCACTTTGTGGTCACCCCAGACAAAGGTTATCGTAAAAGCAGAAGCAGAGACTGGGTTATCTGCCAGTTCTCAGGTCCTTCTGGGCCAGCGGGCAAGGGCAGCCAGGAAACTCTTTTCAGTGCATGCTGGGGTGGAGAGGAAGGCGGGCTGATAGCTTCCCACTGAACCGCAGGTCTTCTCCAAAGGCTGGCCTGGCTCCCAAGGCTCACCTCCTGAGAGTTACCACTAGAATCTAGTACTGGAGTATTTTCTGCCCTTCTATACCATTCTGACCATTGCTATACTTATAAAACATTCATCCATAAGAATTGCAAATTTGGCTGGGCGGTGGTGGCACACGCCTTTCTTTGATCCCAGCACTCGGGAGGCAGAGGCAGGTGGATCTCTGTGAGTTCGAGGATAGCCTAGTCTACAGAGTGAGTTCCAGGACAAACAGCCTCCAAAGCTACACAGAGAAACCCTGTTTCAAAAATCAAAACTAAACTAAACAAAAAAAGAATTGCTTATATCAAGGCCTTCTAGGAATCATTTGCATCAAACTTATATGATTTCATGTATTTCACATTGCTGAATATGGTTTCTGAGACTTAAAAATAACCAGAATTAGAATATTTCTGTCTTTAAGTTCTGTCTGTCTGTCTATCTATCATCTATCTACCTATCATCTATCTGTTGTGTGTCTTCCTGGGGAGATGTCACCAATGTTTACTCACTCCAAAAGGAGAAAATATGACAAATCAAACTCCAGCTCACCTTGCTTAACCAATGAGTTTCAATGTAGTTATTTACAGGAATATGGATGGGGTGATTTACAGGAGCAGACATGATCAAAGATAGCAGCCTCACCAGAAGAATATCCCAGTATGAGTGACAGCTCGTGGTAGCTAGAGATCTGGAGTGCACTGCGGCACTTGCAGGCAGTGTTACAGGTTGGAGAGGTCTCTCTTAGGCAACCCAGCTGCTCTGAGCCCTTTCTAGGCAGATTGGCTGGTCTGAGAATGCCTCTCAGCAGTCCTTAATGCTCATTTAAGTTGGAGGGGGAGGGCCCAGTGAATCTGGTTAGTTTCAGGGACTTTCTGAAGGTTTTTGAACTATTGATTTTTGAACTGATTTTTTAATGAGCTTCCCTACAGGAACATTTTGTCTTCCATTAGAACAGCCTGATTCTCAATGATCTCTCCAAATTGGATTTTTTTTTTATCTTAGAGAAAACTGATTTGCAATATTACCATCAATGTGCCTATCCATCTGTCTGTCTGTCTATCTATCTATCTATCTATCTATCTAATCAGAAAAAATTGATCTGGCTGTCTCTCCTCTGTAAAAGTACATATGTGAGGAGCATGGCTATTGGGCTTTGTAATTCTTATAAAATCATAATTGAAGTAGCAAAGCATCATATAATCAAATTAGTTTATTCTTTTAACCTGGTTATTTCTCACTGCTACATTAACAAGAAAAAGGTTTATTTAAAGTGTAAGAGTCTTATATAATAAAGGAAATGTGTACATCACTTCTGACCTTCAAGGTTATTCTTCTATAAGAAGAATAATGCCAACAAAAATGAAATTTCATATTTACTTTATAGATTTATGATCTCTTAAAATGTCTTAAATTGGGCACAGTCATGCATGACTCTTATTTCAGCATTCGATATGAAGAACCAGAGACATTGCCTTGTCCAACGAGCTTTCACAAACAATGAAGCAGAGTAAAAAACAAGGAAGCAAATAACCTCACACTATTTTGAGACATATTTTCTATGATTATTCTCTTCTTAAGTTCATATAAATGTGGGGTATAGAGAAGCTTTTTTTGTAAAAAAATATTTTTTTAAAAAAATTCTCTGTCTGCATCTCTCTGTGTGTATGTGCATATATATGTGTGTTGTGCCCATAGAGGCCAGAAGAGGGCCTCGAATTCCTTGGAGCTAGAGTTACGGGCATTTGTGAGCTGCCCAGTGTGGGTGGTGAAAATGAACCTTGGATCCTCTGCAAGAACAGCCAGGGCTCTTGACCACTGCACCATCCTTCCAGCTCTGAAATGAACTCTCTCAACTATTTTTGTTACATGTTTTATTTGGGTTAAAGTAAAGAGAGAGATGAATGTTCTTCTAATTAGGTTTTTAATCAAGAGGTGATTATCCAGAAGGCGGGAGAGGAAACTGACGACTCTAGCTCGACGCTCACGTTTGCTCACTGCAGATAGTAGTGGAAATACGGCCCAAGTGGTTTACACTGAGAACCTGTCAGCCGGACCACAGGCTCTAGCATCCGTTCATGTCACCAGAGGGATTGAAGCGTTTCTGCTAAACATGCCTGGTGCCCTTCCCCTTCATAACTCTACTAATTTAAAAGATTAGGGTGGCCTGGTTTACATGGCCACATTATTTTATTCTTTTATTATCTAGCCACTCCCCACTCCCACAGAGGGTGAACTCAGAGCCATGCTAGGCAAACACTGTGCCACCCACTGCTTCTCCAGCTCTGGTGAAGTGGATGACTAAAGCACACTCTGCTTGCAAGTCCTCCATGGGGTTGACGTAAACACCGTGCTTCTTACCAAGTCATTTGTGTGGAAGCTACTGAGACAGGCTGGTGGATACAGGTGGGGGCATTTAGCTTTCCAATGCCAACCTGGCTTCCAGAACTACACCTGAACGCGGTTCTTCCCACCAGCCTGATGGTACCCCACCCCACTGTGTTCTATGAAATACCAGTGCCCTTTCTGCTGCTGGCCCTTCTGTAATAAATTTTCATTTATTTTCATCAGACTTAGAAATTCCATCACCCATAATCAAGCTTTACAAAGGAAGCATTGGTAGAACTTCCACATATTTTAATATATCATTATTGTCCAATTTAATGCTCAATATTAAACTCAAATGGACTCTCAGAATCTTCCCTGGTAGGATCTGATGCCAAGAACAGCTGCAGACAGGAAATCTTAGTGAACTTGTGTTAATATCATTAAAACCATCAATGGTCGTTTAAGTAGCAATGGGAAAATTTTCTATGTAGATGTAACATACGAACTGTGTAGACAGTTGTACCCGTGAAAAATAAAGAAGAATGATTGTGAGTTATACTGTATGTATGCACTTTATGTAACCAAAGTTGAGTGTTTTGCCACTGTAAAACCTCCAGTTGGCGTACGGTCTAGCGTTCAGTCAGTGGAAAGTGGACAGGGTTGTTCTCGGCCAAGTTCCTGTACTCACCATAGCTTGTCCACCAGGCAGCCCCCTGCTAGCTTTACGTTATGCTTGTGCCTCAGGCCCAGGCCCCTATCCACTTCAGACTTCTCTTATGTCCAGTGGTAAAACTCCGGTTCCTGCCACTCCACCGACGCTATTGCACAAATAGAATGGCATGTGAAGATGCTTCTAAAATCCGAGTGTGCCTAGAGATGCCTGGCTTCAACACTATCATGGGAATTTTCAGAGAAGGTTCTCCAGATCGCCATTTCCTTATCTGCAGTCAAGAGAAAAAGCAGTAGTGCAAAAGCACATGGTTTTGAGAATTGAAATATGCACACGAATGGATGAGCAATTTCCCCTTGATTAGGAGAATAATGCTAGTACTCATTTTGCTGATGAGTAGAACAATGAAAATACTCATTCTGACTTAAGACCCATCAGTTCCTGTTTTATTGTGTGCGGTATCCTGGGACATGAGGGTCCTAACTTCTCTGGACTTCTCCACAGGGCTCTCCTTCGCCATTCTCTCATCTGTGCACCCAGTGTTTGGTTTATATGGATCTCTGTTTCCAGCCGTCATTTATGCCATATTCGGTATGGGACGCCATGTTGCTACAGGTGAGAATCACTGTCTATGTTTAGTTATATGTTCTCACATAGCTAACAAAAGGGACTCAAGGTGATTATCAACTCCTAATTACCTGTCCAAAGCCCTTCTACCCTACTGATATATGTGAGGTATGTTTATTTATCAGATACACACCATGACTGAGTGCCATATTCCTGTGTTATGAAAGAAACTGAAAATAGAAGTATCGCTGAATTTACAATGGAATAAGAGAATATAAAAATTTGCAAGAAAATAGTTTTTCAAATATTGAAAAATATTTTGGGTGTATTTCTTTGGTTCTTGTATCTTTTTTTTTTTTAAGGTAAGGATACTCTGTGTGTGTTCCTGTCTGTCTTGGAACTCACTCTGTAGAATAGGCTGGTCTTGAACTCAGAGATCCACCTGCCTCTACCTTCTGAGTGCTGAGATTAAAGTCATGCACCCCCAACACCTGACTTAATTGGTGTATCTTATCCTACCTCCCTCTGCACTACTGAAGAACATAAGAATGAACACAGAGGGTGGTCGGTCATGATTATTCTGATGACAGTACGGGCTGCTTTTCCGTGTGAGCTCCACCTAAGCACATGCGCCATGTGTGATCACCTGCATGACCCTGCACACAGTTTTGAAACTCTATTTGTTACTTTTTTAAATAATAAGATGACTCTCCCATTTCTTATGATAGCAAGAGCCCCACGATTAGTATATTGTGTTTAACTTAACACTTGCTTACATTAATGCAACATTTATTGAGTTTTCCTATTATAAAATGACACCTTAATCTTAAGTATTCAGCTAAAAACAAAATGTATTTTAGCAGAAAATATCTGCCAACATTGCCATTCATTTTGTGTGAGGTCTCAGCCTCTGGGCGCAACTCTTACAGCCTGTCTTCTGTGGCCAGTTGTTATTGATTATATTGCTTCCTACTGTCAGAGATCATCACGGGATTAGTGGCTTGGAACAAAGGGAGTCCACAGTTCTGGAGGTCCGTGCTCTGACTAGGTCTTCCAGACCCCACGGGAGCAGTCAGTGAGACCGAGCTTCTTTTCCCTGGCTTCAGCTCATTTCCCTGATTCTCTGTCTTCTAGAAGTGTCCTGCATTCCTGGAGCCCCTGGCCTTTCCGTGGGGGCATCTTCAGATCTCCCCAGCCCTGCTCTCTTGCTTCTGTCTTCTGTAGTTACAAGAAGTTGTAATTTCTCCGGCTATCTCCAGACAGCCAGACAGATAATTGCATTTTTAAGACCAGCCGAGTAGTGAGCTTAATTTCGCCTACTGCATTTATTATTTCTTGCCATGGAGCATACGTCCTTCTGGCTTCTGAAGATTGGGATAGAAATCTTGGGAGGTCATATTTTTTATTATCACACTGAAATATATGCTTTTTTCATAAAATGATTTGTACTTGTATAAATATGGCTATCATATCACTAACCTTTTCTATGAGTGAGGGAGCAAAAGTTGGCGGTCATTTCAGACTTGCCACCTGAGAAGTCCTCTGTGCAACAATATTCTGAGGGAGCTAGTTAGGGAAGCAGGCATACCGGTGGGTCCACTTCAGACATGCTGGATTAGAACTGGCATTTTCACAAAAAGTTTTACATACATGTGATTGCACACACACACAACTTTACATAATGACATATTTCAGCCAATGGAAATGGCATATCACATAAAACTGTTCATCATATTATATCACATTGGGCATCATGGTGGAGTCGTCTGGGTAGTGCGTTATAATGTACCCACAGCAGTGAAACCGGTCACAGTGAATTCTCAAAATGTATCTCTGCTTTTATGAGGCATACAACTATATACAAAATACATATTTAGTACATATGTGTGCATATGTATATATGTATATAGCTCAGAGCAATATGTATACTTGAAGAGATTTACATGTTCTTGTCTTAACGCAACCTTTCAGGTAAACATTAATTTGTATTATATATACATTTCAGGTGAACTAGGAAAAAAACCTCACAAAGTTTCTTATGACAACACAGATTAAAGTTACAGACATACAGCTTACACAAGTATGGAAAAATTCTCTCTTTTTTTTCTTTCTAGACAACTAAATGTTTTAGAATACTCATTAAATTAGAGTTTTCTTCCAGATAGATAAAAAGAAGAAAACCACAGAATGAATTAATAATTTTCTCAGTTTTTACTTGTTTATTATTTAAAGCAAGGTTTCACTAATGATCCTCCTAACTCGGCCTCTGGGATGCTGGAATTACAGATAGTTTATTGTTTTTTAGTTGTTCTGCCTTCTAATTTTGTCACAGAGTGTTTAAGTATGTTTGTAGCAAGAAAGAGCAGAAGGTTTTAGAACTGACTTCACAGACATTTCTTCTTTTTGACACAAGATAAAAGAAAAAGGCAAAACAGCATTTCCCAATAGACCATAATTAGTCTAGTAGTTAACGTCATGTGTGGTAGTTACCCTTCAGAATCCCAGCACTTGGGAGGCTTCTGTGGGAATTCTGAGAAATGCCACAGATTCAAGCCCTGCTTGAGGTACGTGGTGAGTTCTAGGTTGGTCTGGATCACAGAGTGAACTCCTGTATCAAAACAACAAATTAAAAAATACATAATTTAATAATACTGAAAAGTATAATTACATATACCATTGCATTTCATAGGTACTTGCTGTAGATATTCTACTAGTTGCATAGTTTCAAAATTACCATTTATTTAGACTCTATAACTAAAAAGTTATTTAGTAAGTTATTAACAGCTACAGATATGTCTAAATACACCTTTTGCAGACTTCACACGCATTTTACTGTACAGCAAATGTGGGTGGCATCCTGTTTTTAAATTTGTCCTTCTCAGAGTCTGTCAGCGTTGCTATTGGTTGAAAGCTAGTTAATATTAGTCATCAGCGCTGGTAATAAACAGGTGATGCTTTCCACCCTGATATAAATGACAGGGGAACCAGAAAATGACTTTTGGGACCTTCCTGTGATCTTACTATACGGGTCATTGAATCTTTAAAGATGCCCACAATATTTAACATACAAATCATATTTCTCTTTTATTTGATCATATTTTAGTGTAGGTGAGAGATTTAAGTTTCCTGAAACTTTTTTAATGGTCCAATGTCCTTTTGTGAAAGACAAGCAACTTATCATGAATTTTAGCCTCCCCATGAGGTGTTTGGAATGCAATACCAAATTGCTAAAGATAATAAGACATTATATGAATCATTTAAAAAATTAAATTTGTTCCTTGACGTTTTCATCCACGTAAACAATGTGATCACTCCTTGCCCTTCCACCTTTCATTGTCACCGTTTCTTCCCTGTCAACACTCTCTTTGCAAATCTTTTTTTCATATTCAAGCTTTTGCTTTAAGATGCAACATATATAATTGGAACCAACAGTGTGAGCTTGGAATTCTCTGTTGGAGCACAGGGGGTTCACCAATGATTGTCCAAATGATATCACTGACTCCCCAACTCCCATAGTTCATCAATGTTCACTAGCGAAATAGGAGGGCATCAAAGCCTCTTGAGTCCCCCAACCATCTGTGGTTGGCCATTAACAGGTTCATTCTTGTGTAGGCCCAGTGGAAGAAAGCACAGTTGCTCTGAGTTCATATATCTTTGAAAAACAATTACTTCCTGAAGCCAAAGTATAAAGATGTTGAATGTGCTAGTTTATTTAGCAATTTGAATTTTTTTCTCCAGGCTCTTTTTTTTAATTTAATTTATTTATTTATTAAAGATTTCTGTCTCTTCCACACCGCCGCCTCCCATTTCCCTCCCCCTTCCCCAATCAAGTCCCCCTCCCTCATCAGCCCAAAGAGCAATCAGGATTCCCTGCCCTGTGGGAAGTCCAAGGACCACCCACCTCCATCCAGGTCTAGTAAGGTGAGCATCCAAACTGCCTAGGCTCCCACAAAGCCAATACATGCAGTAGGATCAAAAACCCATTGCCATTGTTCTTGAGTTCTCAGTAGTCCTCATTGTCCGCTATGTTCAGCGAGACCAGTTTTATCCCAGGCTTTTTCAGACCCAGGCCAGCTGGCCTTGGTGAGTTCCCGATAGAACATCCCCATTGTCTCAGCAATTTGAATTTTTATGATTAATTTATGGGCCCTGGCATTTTGTTCATGAAAATAAAAAGTGTACTCAATTATGAAGTCATTAGAGGTAGAAAGCACATAGCATGGTGAGAAAGAACTGGGTTCCCTAGTTGTGACTGGAATTTGAGGCCCATCTTGGAAGATGAAAGCTTGTTTTGGTAGATCAGAGGACCTTACATTTTAGACAGCAGGTGTGTAGTTATCCATCAAGGTCTTCGAGCTTTCCTCCTCTCATTGTCTTCAAACCCTAAACTCTGGGTACAAATATCACTTAGTGGGTACTGAAGGTGGCATTTTTGTATATATTGAAGGGTTGGATGTAAATCTAGGCCACAATCCTGCATCTTAGATATTCTCCATTCAGAGAGTTAGGACAGCGTGTGACTCACAAAGACACGGTGGCTCAGTGGACATCGCAGTAAGTCAGATGTACTGTTTCTTTCATGGAGTGGGGTGGAAGGAAAGGCAGAGAAATGGGGTGCACTGGAGTAGAGTTATTCCTAATAGCTCTTGTTGGCTTTTCAATATTCATGGAACAATTGAATGACTTTTGAATGTTTACATGGACCTTCCCTAAACCATTCTCATTTCCAGGCACCTTTGCGTTGACATCCTTGATATCAGCCAATGCTGTGGAAAGGCTGGTCCCCCAGAGCAGCCGGAATCTCACCACACAGAGCAACTCGAGCGTGCTGGGCTTATCCGACTTCGAGCTACAGAGAATCGGAGTGGCTGCAGCAGTTTCCTTCTTGGGAGGTGTGATTCAGGTGAGCAGCTTCGAGACTGCAGAGGACCGAGGGGACAGGAACAAAGGGAGAGCGAGCAGGGTAGCATTTGGGTTTTTAACTGTGGGTTTCTCTCCAGATGTGTTTTATGATTATGGAAATATATCATGGTTCTGTATATGCTGGCTAGACAAATGAAGAAGATTCAACAAATTATAGGCACAGAGAAACATTTAGTAAAATCAAAACTTTAAAAGTTTTTCTTTTTTTGAGTGGGAGATGAACCTGAAGTTGGATGGGTAGGGAGGTGTTGAGGGCCTAGGAAGAGTTGGAGGAGGGGAAAGACTATGATAAAATGTATTGTGTGAATTGTTTTAAAGATAAAAAATTATGTAAAAATTTTGATATTTTTAAAGTGTGGCAGAGGCATCAGGACTTATCCCTCCTGCTTGTCCTGGTGTTTTGAGAATCTATTCTTTTTGGATGGATACCTTGCTCAGCCTAGATATAGAAGGGAGGGCCTTGGACCTTCCCCAAAGCAATGTGCTTAGGCTCTCTGCAAAGTGGATGGGAGGGGGTGGGGTAAGTGGAGGGGATGGGAGAAAGGGGGGGGGCTGGGAACTGGGATTGATATGTAAAATGAAAAAAAAAATATAGCTTGTTTTTTTTCCAAAAAATAAAATAAAAAGAATATCACATGCTGAATAAATTTATAAACAATAATAGAAAAACGTTTAAAAATGAGTGTTTTATGACCTGAAGAGATGGCTTAGTGATCAAAAACACTTGGTGCTCTTGCAAAGGATATAGGTTCACTTCTCAGCACCCACGTGGAGGCCAAAAACTGCCCAGCTAGTTTCAGAGGATCTAGCTCCCTCTTCTGGCCTCCGTAGAAACTGGGCACACACACATGGTATGATACACATGTAGGTAAAATACACATAAGCTAAAAACATAAATATATTTTTAAAATGATTGAATGGGCTTCCCTGTAACACAGTAAGTCCATGCTGTGTTCATACATGACCAGAGTATCATTGGAAGGGATGTTGTGGGTGAAACTTCTACACTAGGAAGATGCAGCTAACTTTCTCGAATGCTTCTCTACTTAAACACTTTATGATTTTGCTGTATAGGTGGGCAGGAGATGGGACTTGGTCTGTACCCTCAGCGTATTGGTGTGAGGCTTCTGGACTCAGACACTACCAGTCTTTGCCTCTTTTACAACTCTGAATGTCTAATGAGGACACACTGGCTATTGTCACATTCTCCTCAGCATACCAACATTTGATATTTGCTGTTTTTAATAAAATGATCATGCTCAGATCTCTCAGAAGCAACTTTAAGATGGGCATGTTGTGCCAGTCAGCCACTTTTGGTAACTGCTATCACACCTGATTAAAATGACTTAGAAGAGGAAGGGTGTGGCTGTGCCCACAGTCTCAGGACCATCAATCCACCATCACTGGGCTTTATTCTGGGGCCAATAATGACACAGAACATCACAGAAGAGCATCATGGGGTAGCCAGAAAGCAGAGAAAAGGCAAGTGATTTGGATGCTGGCAGCCTCTGAAGCACGTGCCTGCAGCGTGGCCTCATCCCTTGATGTTCACCTCCCAGTAACACCACAAGGCCATTATTCTGTCTGTGGACTGGGTCAGCAGTAATGATCTAATCTTTACTCTGAATGTGGATTGGGGAAAAAAAAATCTTCAATACATTAGTTTAGAAGATGCATTTCACACTCAAACTGTAAACACACAGTAAGGCACTAACTATCAGGCACACACTTCCTAATTTAGTGGTCATTTTTGCATACTCATTTTTTGTAAACGAAATAGTGTATTTACAACTTTTCTGAGTGTCTGCGTTCTGGGCTCGTAGTCTATCTTGAAATAGTGTCCTATTATATACAATATCATATATGAGCAGCAGAAAGGAAGAAGAGCTGGTGATTATGTGAATACATGGAAAGAAAAAAATGTGATCTAGGAAAAAAGAAGCGAAAATCCTTAGAATATTGCCTTCTGATGCTGCGGAAGGGCTGAAGAGTCAAGGTGTGAAATGCGATAAGAACTACATAGTTACTGAGAAACAGAAGCTGGTTTCCCAGGATGACTGAGCGGACTAGCGGGCCTGTCAGCTATTCTGTGTGTAGAGCAGTCTTCCAGGAGGCAAGGCCCGGCTGTGTTACCGCGTGACCTTCACTGAGTGTTCTCAAGCATGGACGGTGCCAGCTGCACGGATACGTGTGTGGGCAGGCTTGCTGACCTCTGCTTTTATGCTCCTTGGTAGGCTCTGGAGAACCCTGGCCCTGGCTCTGTCTCAGACAGAATCATGACTATGGGGCAGAGCTGTGAGTCACCGCTGTCTTCAGCTGTGTGGCCTGGTGATGGAAGCTCAGATATATTGTGTTGAATTTATTGACTCCTCTTAATTCCTGCTCATTTGATAAGAAAATCTCTGTACTAAAATGGGAAGAAGATCCCAATGGTAAAAATAATGAAGCTTGTTCTTCTCCATTGTTTACCTTCCTGTTTCTCTTACCCAGTATAGCACAAAACAAGCAGTTACAGCTGGACATTAGTGCTTCCCAGATCTGTTATTAACAGACGAGTAACTGTCTTCTCAGTCTCATCTTAACCATTTTCCATGAGTCTCAAACCATCAGCTCGTGTTTTAGTATATGAAGTATATTTGGATGAAGAACTTGCATAGTGAAATACAAAAGCAGAGGCCAAGACTTGAACAAGAAAACGAAATCACGTTGCCCTTACCGCAACTCCCTAGGAAGCTAAGAGTAAAGCAGGATATTATTAAATATAATAAAATCGTCTCATTTCACGGCCTTTTATTGCTTGTAAAATGGGATCCAGATCGTTGTATGTTTCTCTTCTAAGCTTGTCAGACATCTATCTGGTTTCCTTCCTCTGTCCCAGCCCCAGGTCCTGGGTGTGTACCTGTGAGTTTGCCATTTGACCTCCGCACTCATCGGTCCCTTGTCAGGCTAGATCCTTGGCCTCTGTGAGATCCTTTGGAATCACCTCCTACGTCATCACTTCCGTCTCTGTCCTAAGTCCATGGGCAATGAGGAAAGTGTTCTGCAAACACAGGATGCTTTACAACCATTCTTGGGTGGTTTTTCTCCCTCTTATGTTTCCCCCTGAAGGCTCAAAACATACAACTATTAATGATTTTTAAAATTTATTTATTTATTAAAAAAATCCACCTCCTCCGCTCCTCCCATTTCCTCCCCACTCCCCCCACGCCCCTCCCCCTCTCTCTCCAGTCCTAAGAGAAGTCAGGGTGCTCTGCCCTGTGGGAAGTCCAAGGCCCTCCTCCACTTCATCCAGGTCTAGGAAGGTGTGCATCCAAACAGACTAGGCTCCCAAAAAGCCAGTACATGCAGTAGAATCAAAACCCAGTGCCATTATCATTGGCTTCTCAGTCAGCCCTCATTGTCAGCCACATTCAGAGAGTCCGGTTTGATCACATGCTCCATCAGTCCCAGTCCAGCTGCCCTTGGTGAGCTCCCATTAGATCAGTCCCACTGTCTCTGTGGGTGAATGCACCCCACATGGTCCTGACTTCCTTGCTTATGTTCTCCCTCCTTCTGCTCTTCATCTGGACCTTGGGAGCTCAGTCCAGTGCTCCAGTGTGGGTCTCTGCCTCTATCTCCATGCTTCGCCAGATGAAGGTTCTATGGTGATATGCAAGATATTCATCAGTGTGGCTATAGGATAGGGCCATTTCAGGCTCCCTCTCCTCAGCTGCCCAAGGACCCAGCTGGGGACATCTCTCTGGACCCCTGGGAACCCCTCTAGAGCCAAGTCTTTTGCCAACCCTAAAATTGCTCCCTTGATTAAGATATTTTCTTCCGGGGGCTGGAGAGATGGCTCAGTGGTTAAGAGCACTGCCTGCTCTTCCAAAGGTCCTGAGTTCAATTCCCAGCAACCACATGGTGGCTCACAACCATCTGTAAGGAGGTCTGGCGCCCTCTTCTGGCCTACAGGCATATAAGCAGACAGAATATCGTATACTAAATAAATAAATAAATAATAAAAAAAGATATTTTCTTCCCTGCTCCCATATCCACTCTTCCTCCATCTCAACCATCCCGTTCTCCCAAGCTCTCCCCAATCCTCCCCTTCTCCCTTCTCTCTCCCCATCTCCCCTTCCCCCTACCCTACCCCCATTCCCATGCTCTCAACTTTTGCCTGGCGATCTTGTCTACTTCCAATATCTAGGAGGATAGCTATATGTTTTTCTTTGGGTTCACCTTCTTATTTAGCTTCTCTAGGATCACGAATTATAGGCTCAATGTCCTTTGTTTATGGCTAGAATCCACTTATGAGTGAGTACATACCATATTCATCTTTTTGGGTCTGAGTTATCTCAGTAAATTGTTTTCTATTTACATCTATTTGCACGCAAAATTCAAGATGTCATTGTTTTTTTTCCTGCTGAGTAGAACTCTAAAGTGTATATGTGCCACACCTTCTTTATCCATTCTTCTATTGAGGGCACCTAGGTTGTTTCCAGGTTCTGGCTATTACAAATAGTTTTGCTATGAACATAGTTGAACAAATGTTTTGGAGTATGATAGGGCATCTTTTGGGTATATTCCCAAGAGTGAAATTGCTGGATCCTGAGGTAGGTTGACTCTCAGTTTCCTGAGAAACCGCTACACTGATTTCCAAAGTGGTTGCACAATTTGGGCATTCCCACCAACAACGGATAAGTGTTCCCATTACTCCACGTCCTCTCCAGCATAGGCTATCATTGGTGTTTTTGATTTTAGTCATTCTGACAGGTGTAAGATGGTATCTCAAAGTTGTTTTGATTTGCATTTCCCTGATCGCTAAGGAGGTTGAGCATGACTTTAAGTGTCTTTTGGACATTTGAACTTCTTCTGTTGAGAATTCTCTGATCAGTTCTGTACCCCATTTTTTTTAAAATTGGGTTAATTATAGTTTTCATGTCTAGTTTCTTGAGTTCTTTATATATTTTGGAGATCAGTTGTCTGTATGGTTGGTGAAGA